GGGCAAGATAACGAGCTCTGCTGTCGCGAGCCGCTCGGACAACGCCGCCGCGCCGACGGGGCGGAGGCGACTGGGGCGACGACGACGACAGGGGCGAGCATGATGAGGATCACGAGGAGGACGGCGACGAGGACGGCGAGGACAAAGACGACAATCGAAACTCGGGTTTCCGGGGCGCTTTGGATGTGTGTGCCTGCAGAGACCTGCAGAAATCTCAGGGAGCCTCCGAGGAACTCCGCAGGCCTCCAGGGAATCTGAAAGGGGCGTTCTCCTCCTCCTCCTCCTCGTCCTCCTGGTCCATGCCGATTCCCGATCCACATCTCCTCCTTCTCTGCCGCTTCATTATCCTCTTCCCATTATCCGTCCGCGTCTTCTCTTCAGGCTGTGCAGGCTCGAGCCCGGCGGCATAAGTGCCAGCGGTGCTGATTGGGGGGCGGTGCCGGGGCTGCCCCGAGACCGCCTGCCCCCCCAAACCCGTTCTGCTTCGCTCTTGTTTCCAGCGCGGCTATATGCCGCGTGCGTGGCCCACGAAGTGTCGCAATGGCCGCTGCCACCCTGGGCCCATCTCGCGCCGGGGTTACTGCGAGACGTGCCGGCAAAACGCGGTGTCAGCGGGCGGGCGCAAGGGGGGACTTCAAATGAGGAAATCTTGGTTCGGCAGTCCTTCGAGGGCACCAGCCCAAAGGAGGATATATCGCGCGAAAATTCAACAAGCTCAGAGGGCGAATAATAGAAAACACGTGAAGAAGAGCATGCTCAAGAAGCGCAAGATCAACTGCACGAGCGAAGGAAAAACCAAGGCAGGGGCGAGCAGTCGCCAGGCCACTGCGTCCAGCAGTAGCCAAGCGCCCAGCCCTAACGATAGTGCACATGCTCGCTATTGTTTCCGATGCGAGCGCCGCATGGACAAGTGCCGCGAGGAGGGGTGCCACCCTTACGAATTTCACGTGGACAAGACAAGTTTTAACAAGTTCCTCGCGGACTTTGACCGCCCTGGCAGTACGATGCGGTACACTGCTGACGCCATGGACGTTCAGGTCGTGAAGAAATGGGCGCTGGCCGCCGATGACGCATACGGCACGAGCATCGCGCTGTTGGGGCTGATCGTGTGCGCCCATTTCAAGTCCCTGCGGACATGGGGCGTGATCAATCGCGCTTTCCAGCGCACTGTGAATTGGGCCCGTCTGAAGGAAAAGCTCATCCTCTGCGGAACCCTGTGGGGCAACAAAACCAGCCATGCAATTTATTCGGGTGCTAACATGAGCGGCAGTGGCCTCCCGCCTCGCGGCCGGACCTTCCACGACCGGTTCCCTCACTGGTTCAAAGTCGTGCAGCATAGTCGCCCGTTCAAGCAGAACTGCCACCTGCTCCGTCGCGGTGTCCGGTCTCTTCAAGACGGGCGGAAGCTCAGAAAACAATTGGAGAGCGTGCGCTCGGTCGTCCCTGGCCTTCTCGGGCCGTACCACTTCAAGATGTTGATGGACTTCCTCGTGGCTGCAGATTCTCGGGTGCACGCTGCGCCGCCGACCCCGCGGGGGTCTCCCGCGAAGTCTCTCGAGGGCTTCCTGGCAGCATTGTTGAAGCATGTTGCGGGCCGTTTGGAGGCCTCTTGGGGCTTCTTCTGGGCCTCTAGGGGCCAATGGGGGCGTCTTTGGGGGCCTCATGGGCGCTTCTTGGGATGTCCTGGGGGCTTTCTGGGGCCGCGCGCTCGCAATTTCCGTTCGGGTCCCCCGTCTGCGCCCCTTCGTGGGGCTGTCTTGGAGCCGTCTCGGGGGCCGCTTGGGCCGTCTCGGGCGCCTCGTGAGCCGACTTGGGGGCATGGGGGTCGTTTCTTTGACCGTATTGGGGGCGTCTTGGGGGCCTCTCGGCACGGTTGGGGCATGGGCCCGCCCCTCCAAATCGACCGCGCGGGCCTCCGGGGGGCGGAGCGTTTGGGGAAGGGCAAGAATCTCACGCGCTGATGATCCCGGAGGGGTCGGCGGATTTCACCCCCCCCCGGTACGTCAGCTCGTGCCCAGTGTGCCCGAAGGGAGGCGCGGCGAAAGGCTTGCGATACCTGGCGAACATCGACGAGGATACCAACACGGGGGAGAAGCAGTTGGAGAAAATGCTGGTGGAAGTCGCCCACCGAGTGGCGGTCCAGTCGTTAACTTGGAGCGGCCCCGGGGGTGACACACTGGGCACAGTGGGCGCAGCCTTGTGCTGGATCAAACGCCAGAACACTGCGGCATCTTCGTCATCTTTTGCCAACCGCTTCGAGGAGACCAGCCAGCCCCTGTGGGAGCGCGAGCTTCGCGCATTAGCGGAGGCCAAGCATTCAATCTTCGGATTCCATCCCGAGTGCTAGATGCTAGCTTTGGGCTGCTGGAACCCCTGCGTCCGCCCGGATGGACGTGCAGGGGAGGGGGCGCTGCCGGGGTTGCCCCGAGTCGCGCCCCCGCGTTTTGTTTTTGCATTGCGCCGCGCGGCGGTTCACCCGGTGCGGGGGGGAGCTTCCGGGGTTGCCCCGAGTCGAGCCCCCGCGCTTTCCTTTTGCATTGCGCCGCGCGGCAATTCACCCGGCGCGGGGGAGAGCTTCCGGGGTTGCCCCGAGTCGCGCCCCCGCGCTTTATTTTTGCATTGCGCCGCGCGGCGATGCACCCGGTGCGGGGGAGAGCTTCCGGGGTTGCCCCGAGTTCCCTTTTTTTCCAATCCTCCCCTACCCTCCCGCCAATAACCTTGCACGCCGCATTTACTTCATATGCTTGCATCTATTTGTCCCGCCGCAACTAGTTGCATTTAATCGCTTCGCTCATTCCGCCGGCCCATGCAGTCTCATGTCTGCCGTTTGCCCGAGGGCCTGGTGTCAATGCGGCGCTTTGGGGGTTCCTAGGGCCGCTTGGGGGACTCCTGGGGCGCTCGGGGGGGCATTTGGGGGGCCTCCTGGGGCCGCTTGGGGGACTCTTGGGGGCCTCCTGAGGGCCTCGTGGGGGCCTCTTGGGGCCTCTTAGGGGCCTCTTGGGGCTTCGTAGGGGCTTCTTAGGGCCGAGGGCTCGATATGTTGTTTCGTGTTCCCTCTCTGGGGCCCCTTTGGGGGCGTTCTTGGGGCCCTCTTGGACCGTCTTGGAGGCTTCTTGGGCCGTCTTCGAGCCCTCTTGGGCCATCTTGGGGCCCTCTTGGGGGCCTCTTGGGCCCTCTTGGGGCGATCTTGGGGGCCTCTTGGGCCGTCTTGGGGCGTCGGGAAGCCGAACAGGTGGAAGCTCCAAAATCTTTCAAAAACCTAAGGAAAACAATGATTTTTGCCTCCGGGGGCCCTCTTGGGAGCGCTCTTGGAGGCCTCTTGGGGCGTCTGGGGGCTATCTTGGGCGTCTTGGAGCGATCTTGCGGCATGTCGGACCCCTCGTGTACCATCTTGGGGGCCTCTTGGGGGCCTCTTGGCCTTTCTTGGGGCTCTCGGGGACGTCTCGGAGCCTTGTTGGTGCGCTCATGGAGCGCTCCTGGAGCGCTCTGGGGGACTCCTCCCGGGACTCTCTCGGGACCTTGCCGGGGTACTTTCCGCCCGGGGACCCCCAGGGGCCGCCCCGCGCGCGCGAACTATAGAATTGTTAACCAGTTACCGGAGATCCTAGCACGCCTCTGGCCCGTTGGGCCGGCGAATTTATTTGTCCCTGTGACATTCATTTGCATTAAATTACATTCGTCCGTCCACATGATTTTTAGTAGCGTTCATTTGTTCGGGTCGCAGGATCTGCCTCTCTGACTTCGTCGCTGCGATGGCGCGCCTGCTCTCGAGATTGCGCGCTTCTCGCCGTCGCGGCCGTCATCGCACTCCTCCTCCTACTCCTCCTCCTCCTCGTCCTCCTCCTCCTCTCTGCAACCGTCGTCGTCGCTGCTGCTACTCACCGCCGCCGCCAACGGCGCGGGCGCATCCATCATCGCCGTCGCTACCCCCTCGTGTGGCGGGGAGCTCGGAGTAGAGAGGGATGGCCCCTTTACTGCCGACAGCGCGGGGCGACGACGACGAGGATATCTCAACAAATTCTAAACGCTTCGCGCATCCCCACCAGCCCGTCCAGAATCCAGGTCGTCCTGAGGGGCTTTTCGGCGTCTTGGGTGCCTCGGAAGGGCCTCTGTGGGCCGTTCGGGATCTTCTTTGGAGCCTCCTGGGGGCCTCTTGGGGCCCCTTGGGGCCATTTTGGGGGCTTTGGATGCCTCCTGGGCGCTTCTTGGGGCCTCCTGGGCGCTTCTCGGGTGCCTCTGGGGGGTCTCTTGGGGCCTCTTGTGGGTCTCCTGGGGGCCCCCTGAGGGGTCTCTGGGGGGGCCTCGGAGCCATTTTGGAGGAGATCGATCAACGAAGGGGGGTTTCCTAATTACAGCCCCCCCCCCCCCCCTCAGGAGCCACGATCCTTGTGAGGGGTGTCGAATTTCAGCCCTCCCAGGGGTCGATCTTGGGCCGCCGTCGCCGTCATCGTCGTCGTCGTCGTCGTCGTCGCCGCCGCCGCCGTCATCGTCGTCGTCGTGGCAGCGGGCGGCTCGGAGTAGAGACCGCCGTCATCGTCGTCGTCGTCGGCAGCGGCGCTCGCGCGTCAAAGGCGCCACCCCTCTCCACCCCGAGCCCCCCGCCGTCGTCGTCGTCGCCATCGTAGCGGCGGCGGGCTCGCGGTAGGGAGTGGCGGCCCCTTTCTACCCCGAACCCGCCGTCGTCGTCGTCGTCGCCGTCGTCGTCGTCGCCGTCGTCGGCGGCGGCGTCAGCGGCGGCGCTCGCACCTCAAAGGGGGCGCCCGCCCTTATCCCGAGCTCACCGTCGTCATCGTCGTCGTCGCCGCTGCCGCCGCCGTCGTCGCCGTCGTCGTCGTCGTCGTTGTACTGGCAGGGGGTTCGGGGTAGAGAGGGGTGGCCCCTCTTTGCCCCAAGCCCCTCGCCGTCGTCGTCGTCGTCATCGTCGTCGTCGGCGTCGTCGTCATCGTCGTCGTCGTCGTCGGCGGCGCTCGCAGTTCAAAGGGGCCACCCCTCCCGAACCCGAGCCCCCCGCCGTCGTCGTCGTCGTCGTCCATGTCGTCGTCGTCGTCTTCGTCGTCGACGTCGTTGCAGTCGGCGTCCAGGTTCGGGCAGGCTGTTCTTCATGCGCGCGCCGACCCGTTGCCGCAAGTTGCCGTTGCCGCTTGTGAGGGTGTGTCGAAGGAGTATGTCAAGCGGCCCGTCGCCGCCCGTCGTCGCTGCGGGGTGCGGCGAGACTTCGACACGTTGACGCCCGTTGCCGCCTGTGGGGGTATGTCGAGGATCCGCCGCGCTGGCACCTTATAGCCCTATAACCGAATCGCCCTGTAGCCCAACAGCCCCGAAGCCCGATAGCCCTATAGTTCCATGGCCCAGTAGCCCCATAGTCCTATAGCCCATGGACCTAGAGCCCTGTAGCCCCATAGCCCTATAGCCCTATAGCCCTGCAGCTCTATAGCCCTATAGCACCATACCCTTATAGCCCAGTAGCCCAATAGCCTTATATCCCAATAACCCTATAACCCTATGGCCCTGAAACCCCACTGCTCTATATATCCCTGCTGCTCTATAGCCTCATAGCCTGGCAGCACTATAGCCCTATATCCCCATAGCCACACAGCCCCACAGCCCTATCTATAGCCCTACAGCCCGACTGCCCTATAGCGCTATAGCGCCATAGCAATATAGCCCATAGCCCAATTGCCCCATAGCCCTATAGTCCCATGGCCACATCGCCCTATAGCCTTGTGGCCCCATGGCCCTATAGCCCTATAGCCCTACAGCCCCCCATAGCCCTATAGCCCTACAACCCAATAGCCCCATTGCCCTGGCCCCACAGCCCCATAGCTCGATAGCCATATAGCCCTATAGCCCCATAGCCCCCCACACGAATCTGATTTGGCTTTTCTCTGGCATCGCGTAAATATGAACGAGGCGCCGTGAGATGAACCACGCTGCAATCGAAGGCGGAAGAAACTCAACCAATGCTCAGAGAATATGATTCCCTCCTTGCCGCAACCCATCGTCCTTCCACCCGCCCCCCACCTGGCCTCCGAGTTCGGGATGCTTGTGTTGTCGGTCGGGGGGAAATGCGGAATTTCCTCTGGCAGGTCGGTGCAAGTTCGATCAGTTGAAACGTCGACTAGGATGAGGATGAGGAGGAGGAGGAAGTGAGGGGGGAAGAGCAGCAGCAGCAGCAGGAGCTGGAAGCACGCTCGCAGAGGAGAGAGGAGAGATGGAGGAAGGAACGGAAAAGGAAGATGCGACGCAGCCGAAAATCTCCGAGGATCTTCGAATGCTTCCGAGACCCTTCCTCGCAGGCTCTGCATAGCTCTACGCCCATATAGCCCCATAGCCCTATAGGCCCGATAGCCCTGCAGCTCTCACGAATCTGATTTGGGTTTTTCTCTGGCATCATTTAAATAGAAACGAGGCACCGTGAGATGAACCATGCTACAATCGAAGGGGCAAGAAACTCAACCAATGCTCAGAGAATACGATCCCCCTCCATGCCGCAACCCATCGTCCTTCCACCCACCTCCCCCCTGGCCTCCGAGTTCGGGATGCTTGTGTTGTCGGTCGGGAGGAAATGCGGAATTTCCTCAGGCAGGTCGGTGCAAGTTCGATCAGCTGAAACTTCGACTAGGATGAGGATGAGGAGGAGGAGGAAGTGAGGGAGGAAGAGCAGCAGCCGCAGCATCAGGTGCTGGAACGGGCTCGCGGAAGAGAGAGGGGAGATGGAGAAAGGAAAGGAAAAGGAAGATGCGAAGTAGCCGAAAATCTCAGAAAATCTCCGAGGAGCTTCGAATGCTTCCGAGAACCTTCCTCACTGGCTCTTCCCTGCTCCCAGGCTCTCCATTGCACCCTCCTCCCCTTCAACGGATAACAGGGGGGGCCCCCCCCCGGAGGAAGCTTGCAATTTGGTCGTTGGCTCCCTTCGCCACGGTTGGATTGACTCGGAACTTATCAGGAGGCACTCCAGGATGGGTCCGGAGGGGGCGACTTCTCGGCCTATGACCCATAGTAGTCTCTCTTTCGAGGTAGAGAGAGGTGGCCCCTCTCTACCCAGAGCCCCCCGCCGTCGTCCTCGAAAATCATCGTCGTCGCCGTCGTCGTCGTCGTCGGCGGCGGCGGCGGCAGCGGCGCTCGCACCTCGAAGAGACCGCCCCCCCTCTGCCCCAAGCCCCCGCCGTCATTGTCGTCGTCGTCGTCGCCGCCGCCGCCGCCGTCGTCGTCGTCGTCGCCGTCGCCGTCGTCGTTGAAGCGGCGGGGGTCTCGGGGTAGAGAGGGGTGGCCCCTCTGTGCCCCGAGGCCCCCGTCATCGTCGTCGCCGTCGTCGTCGTCGTCGGCGGCGGCGCTCGCACCTCCAAAAGGCCACCCCTCTCTACCCGGGGCCCCCCGCCGTGATCGTCTTCGTCGTATTCGTCGTCGTATTCGTCTTCGCCGCCGCCGCAACCGTCGTTTTCGTCGTGGTCGTTGTCGTCGTTGTCGTCGTCGTCGTCGAAATCGTCGCCCTTCGGGGTGAGCGGGCGGGGCCCGTGGGAGGCCCCCCGGGGGCCCCGTCCGCAGCGAAGGGCTTCCCGTGGGGACGGGGCAAGATTCTCCACGGAAAACACGCCGCCGCGGACAGGGCCCGTTGGGGTGCTCCCCGAGGGCCCCATCCGCGGCGGATGGTCTCCCGTGGGGAATCGGAGCCGGATTCTCCACGGGAAACATTCCGCCGCGGAGAGGGTCCGTTGGGGAGTTCCCCGAGAGCCCCGTCCGCGACGGATGGTCTCCCGTGGAGAATCGGGGCCGGATTCTCCACGGGTGACACCCCGCCGCGGACGGGGTCCGCTGGGGGGCCCCCCGAGGGCCCCGTCCGCGGCGGATTGTCTCCCGTGGGGGATCGAGGCCAGATTTTCCTCGGGAGACACCCGCCGCGGACAAAGCCCGTTAGGGAGCTCCCCGAGGTCCCCGTCCGCGGCGGATGATTTCCGGTAGAGAATTGGGGCCAGATTCTCCACGGGAGACCCCCCGCCGCGGACAGAGCATTTGGGGTGGCTCCGCGAGGGCAGCGAAGGCCTCCGTCCGCGGCGGATGGTCTCCCGTGGAGAATCGAGGCCAGATTCTCGACGGGAGACCCCCCGCCGCGGAGAGCATTTGGGGTGGCTCCCCGAGGGCCGCGAGGCCCCGCCGCGGCCGATGACCTCCCGTGGGGACTCGGGAACAGAGCATTTAGGTTGATTCCCCGAGAGCCCCGAGGCCCCCGTCCGCGGCGGATGGTCACCCGTGGGGAATCGGGGCCAGATTCTCCACGGGAGACCCCCCGCCGCGGACAGAGCATTTTGGATGCCCCCCCGACGGCCCCGAAGCCTCCGTCCACGAAAGACACGCCGCCGCGGACAGGGCCCGTTGGGGAGCTCCCCGAGGGCTCCGTCCGCGGCGGATGGTCTCCCGCGGGGAATCGGGGCCAGGTACTCCACGGCAGACCCCCCGCCGCGGACAGGGCCCGTTGGGGGGCTCCACGAGGCCCCCGTCCGCGGCCATTGATCTCCCGTGCGGAATCCGGGCTGGATTCTCGACGGGAGACACCCCGCTGCGGACGGGGCCCGATAGGGGGCTCCCCGAGAGCCGCGTCCGCGGCGGATGGTCTCCTGTGGGGAATCGGGGCCGGATTCTCCCGTTTGGCATGGTGTCGGGTACCCGAATACCCGCCCCGGGAGGTCCCGTTTCGCATGGTGTCGGGCCCAGGGGGCGCCACCCCCGGAGATCCCGTTTGGCATGGTGTCACGGGTCACGCCCCGAAGACTTGATCCCGGGAGGTCCCGTTTGGCATGGTGTCGGAGCCCCTAGACTCGTTTGACATGGTGTCGGGCCCCTTGGCGGCCTCTCTCGGGAGATCCCGTTTGGCATGGCGTCGGGCCCAGGGGGCGCCACCGGGGGGGGCGGCAATAGACGCCCCGTCCGCGGCGGATGGTCTCCCGTGGGGAATCGGGGCCAGATTCTCCACGGGAGACCCACCGCCGCGGACAGAGCATGTGGGGTGGCTCCCCGAGAGCCCCGAGGCCCCCGCCCACGGCGGATGGTCTCCCGTAGCGAATCGGGGCCAGATTCTCCACGGGAAACCCACCGCCGCGGACAGAGCATGTGGGGTGGTTCCCGGATAGCCCCGAGGCTCCCGTCCACGGCGGATGGTCTCCCGTAGAGAATCAGGGCCAGATTCTCCACGGGAGACACCCCGCCGCGGACAGAGCATCTGGGGTGGCTCCCCGAGAACCGCGAGGCTCCCGCCCGCGGCGGATGGTCTCCCGTGGGGGATCGGGGGCCAGATTCTCCACGGGAGACCCCCCGCCGCGTACGGCGCATTTGAGGTGGCCCCCCGAGAGCCCCGAGGCCCCCGTCCGCGGCGGATGGTCTCCCGTGGGGAATCGGAGCCAGATTCTCCACGGGGGGCTCCCCGCCACGGACAGAGCATGTGGGGTGGCTCCCCGACGGCCCCGAAGCCTCCGCCCGTGACGGATGGTCTCCCGTAGGGAATCGGGGCCAGATTCTCCACAGGAGACCCCCCGCCGCGGACGCAGCATTCGGGGTGGTTCCCGGAGAGCCCCGAGGCTCCCGTCCACGGCGAATGCTTTCCCGTGGGGGATCGGGGCCAGATTCTCCACGGGAGACACCCCGCCGCGGACAGAGCATCTGGGTTGGCTCCCCGAGGGCCGCGAGGCCCCCGCCCGCGGCGGATGGTCTCCCGTGGGGAATCGGGGCCAGGCCGCGGAAGGAGAGGAGCATGTGGGGTGGTTCCCCGAGAGCCCCGAGGCCCCCGTCCACGGCGGATGGTCTTCAGTAGGGAATCGAGGCCAGATTTTCCACGGGAGACCCCCCGCCGCGGACAGAGCATTTAGGGTGGCTCTCCGACGGCCCCGAAGCCTCCGTCCGCGACGGATGGTCTCCCGTGGGGAATCGTGGCCAGATTCTCCACGGGAGACCCCCCGCCGCGGAAAGAGCATTTTGAGTGGCCCCCCGACGGCACCGAAGCCTCCGTCCACGGCGGATGGTCTCCCGTGGGGAATCGTGGCTACATTCTCCACGGGAGACCCCCGCCGCGGACAGACCGTGTGGGGTGGTTCCCGGAGAACCCCGAGGCTCCCGTCCACGGCGGATGGTCTCCCGTGGGGAATCGGGGCCAGATTCTCCACGGGAGACACACCGCCGCGGACAGGGTCCGGCGGATGGTTTCCCGTGGGGAATCGGGGCCGGATTCTCCACGGGAGAGCCACCTCCGCGGTCAGGGCCCGTTGAGGGGCTCCCCGAGAGCCGCGTCCGCGGCGGATGGTCTCCCGTGGGGAATCCGTGCCGGATTCTCCACGGGAGACACTCCGCCGCGGACAGAGCTTGTTGGGGAGCTGCCCGAGGCCCCCGTCCGCGGCCAATGATCTCCCGTGCGGAATCGGAGCTGGATTCTCGACGAGAGACACACACCCCGCTGCGGACACGGCCCGTTGGGGGGCCCCCCGAGAGCCGCGTCCGCGGCGGATGGTCTCCTGTGGGGAATCGGGGCCGGATTCTCCACGGGAGACACCCCGCCGCGGACAGGGTCCGTTGGGGGGCTCCCTGGGAGCCCCGTTCGCGGCGGATGGTCTCCCGAAGGGAATCGGGGCCGGGTTCTCCACGGGAGACACCCCGCCGCGGACAGGGCTCGATGGGGGGCTCCCCGAAGGCCCCGGCAGGGTCCCGTTCGGGCCCATGAGCGCTTCTCGCCGAAGGTCCTGTTTGGCATGGCGTCGGGCTCATGAGGGCCTCCCCCCGAGGTCCCGTTTGGCATGGTGTCACACCGCGAAAACCTGGTCCCGGGAGGTCCCAATTGGCATGGTGTCGGGCCCCCGAAAACCCGCCCCAGGAGGCTCGTTTCGCATGGTGTCGGGCCTTTTGAGGCTTCTCTCGGGAGGTTTCGTTTCGCATGGTGTCGCGCCCAGGGGGCGCCGCCCCCGGAGATCCCGTTTGGTATGGTGTCACGGGACACGCCCCGAAAACTTGGTCCCGGGAGGTCCCGTTTGGCATGGCGTCGGGCCCTCTAAACCCGCCCCGGGAGGTTCCGTTTGGCATGGCGTCGGGCCCCTTGGCGGCCTCTCTCGGGAGATCCCGTTTGGCGTGGTGTCGGGCCCAGGGGGCGCCACCGGGGGGGGGCGGCAATAGGCGCCCCGTCCGCGGCGGATGGTCTCCCGTGACAACTCGGGGCTCGATTCTCTACGGGGGATCCCCTGCCGCGGACAGATCATTTAGGGTGGCTCCCCGAGAGCCCCGGGGCCTCCGTCCGCGGCGGATGGTCTCCCGTGGGGAATCGGAGCCAGATTCTCCACGGGAGACCCCCCGCCGCGGACAGAGCATTTGGGGTGTCTCCCCGAAGGCCGCGAGAGCCCCCGTCCGCGACGGATGATCTCCCGTGGGGAATCGGGGCCAGATTCTCCACGGGAGACACCCCGCCGCGGACAGAGCATCTGGGGTGGCTCCCCGAGAACCGCGAGGCCCCCGCCCGCGGCGGATGGTCTCCCGTGGGGAATCGGGGGCCAGATTCTCCACGGGAGACCCCCCGCCGCGTACGGAGCCTCTGAAGTGGCTCCCCGAGAGCCCCGAGGCCCCCGTCCGCGGCGGATGGTCTCCCGTGGGGAATCGAGGCCAGATTCTCCACGGGAGACCCCCTGCCACGGACAGAGCATTTAGGGTGGCTCCCCGACGGCCCCGAAGCCTCCGTCCGTGACGGATGGTCTCCCGTAGGAAATCGGGGCCAAATTCTCCACGGGAACCCCCCCGCCGCGGACAGAGCATTCGGGGTGGTTCCCGGAGAGCCCCGATGCCCTTGTCCACGGCGAATGCTCTCCCGTGGGGAATCGAGGCCAGATTCTCCACGGGAGACCACCCGCCGCGGACAGAGCATTTGGGGTGGCCCTCCGACGGCACCGGACCCTCCGTCCGCGACGGATGGTCTCCCGTAGGGAATCGGAGCCAAATTCTCCACGGGAGACCCCCCGCCGCGGACAGAGCATTCGGGGTGGTTCCTGGAGAGCCCCAATGCTCCCGTCCACGGCGAATGCTCTCTCGTGGGGAATCGAGGCCAGATTCTCCACGGGAGACCCCCCGCCGCGGACACAGCATTCGGAGTGGTTCCCGGAGAGCCCCGATGCTCCCGTCCACGGAGGATGCTCTCCCGTGGGGAATCGGGGCTAGATTCTCCACGGGAGACCCCCCGCCGCGGACAGACCATGTGGGGTGGTTCCCGGAAGGCCCCGAGGCTCCCGCCCACGGCGGATGGTCTCCCGTGGGGAATCGGGGCCAGATTCTCCAGGGGAGACCCCCCGCCGCGAACACGGCCCGTTGGAGGGCTCCCCGAGGGCCCCCAGCCGCGGCGGATGGTCCCCCGCTGGAAATCGGCGCCAGATTCGCCACGAGAGACACCCGCCGCGGACAGGGTCCGTCGGGGGGCTCCCCGAACGCTCCGTCCGCGGCGGATGGTCTCCCGTGGGGAATCGGGGCCGGATTCTCCACGGGAGAGCCACCTCCGCGGTCAGGGCCCGTTGAGGGGCTCCCCGAGAGCCGCGTCCGCGGCGGATGGTCTCCCGTGGGGGCTCTGGGCCGGATTCTCCACGGGAGACACCCCGCCGCGGACAGAGCTTGTTAGGGAGTTCCCCGAGGCCCCCGTCCGCGGCCGATGATCTCCCGTGCGGAATCGAGGCTTGATTCTCGACGGGAGACACCCCGCTGCGGACGCGGCCCGTTGGGGGGCTGCCCGCGAGCCGCGTCCGCGGCGGATGGTCTCCTGTGGGGAATCGGGGCCGGATTCTCCACGGGAGACACCCCGCCACGGACAGGGTCCGTTGGGGGGTTCCCTGAGGGCTCCGTCCGCGGCGGATGCTCTCCCGAAGGGAATCGGGGCCGGATTCTCCACGGGAGACACCCCGCCGCGGACAGGGCCCGATGGGGGGCTTCCCGAAGGCCCCGGCAGGGTCCCGTTCGGGCCCATGTGTGTTTTTCGCCGGAGGTCCCGTTTGGCATGGTGTCGAGCCCATGAGCGCTTCCCCCTGAGGTCCCGTTTGGCATGGTGTCACGCCCCGAAAACCTGGTCCCGGGAGGTCCCGTTTGGCATGGTGTCGGGCCCCCGAAAACCCGCCCCGGGAGGTCCCGTTTCGCATGATGTCGAGCCTTTTGAGGCTTCTCTCGACGGGTCCCGTTTCGCATGGTGTCGGGCCCAGGGGGCGCATCCCCGGAGATCCCGTTTGGCATGGTGTCACGGGTCACGCCCCGAAAAATTGATCCCGGGAGGTCCCGTTTAGTTTGACATGGCGTGGGCCCCCTGGGCCCGCCCTGGGAGGTTCCGTTTGGCATGGTGTCGGGCCCCTTGGCGGCCTCTCTCGGGAGATCCCGTTTGGCATGGTGTCGGGCCCAGGGGGCGCCACCGGGGGGGGGGGCGGCAATAACACGCCGTCCGCGGCGGATGGTCTCCCGTGGAGAATCGGGGCCAGATTCTCCACGGGAGAGCATTTGGGGTGGCTCCCCGAGAGCCCCCGGGGCTTCCGTCCGCGGCGGATGATCTCCCGTGGGGAATCGAGGCCAGATTCTCCACGGGAGACCCCCCGCCGCGGACGGCATTTGGGGTGGCTCCCCGAGGGCCGCGAGGGCCCCCGCCCGCGACGGATGGTCTCACGTAGGGCATCGGGGCCAGATTCTCCACGGGGGACCCCCCGCCGCGGAAGGAGAGGAGCATTTAGGGTGGCTCCCCGAGAGCCCCGAGGCCCCCTTCCGCGGCGGATGGTCTCCCGTGGGGAATCGGGCCAGATTCTCCACGGGAGACCCTCCGCCACGGACAGAGCATTTGGGGTGGCTCTCCGACGGCCCCGAAGCTTCCGTCCGTGACAGATGGTCTCACGTGGGGAATCGGGGGCCAGATTCTCCACGGGAGACCCCCCGTCGCGGACAGAGCATTCGGGGTGGTTCCCGGAGAGCCTCGAGGCTCCCGTCCACAGCGAATGCTCTCCCGTGGAGAATCGGGGCCAGATTCTCCACGGGAGACACCCCGCCGCGGACAGAGCATCTGGGGTGGCTCCCCGAGGGCCGCGAGGCCCCCGCCCGCGACGGATGGTCTCACGTGGGGAATCGGGGCCAGATTCTCCACGGGAGACCCCCCGCCGCGGACGGAGCATTTAAGGTGGTTCCCCGAGAGCCCCGGGGCCCCCGTCCGCGGCGGATGGTCTCCCCTGGGGAATCGAGGCCAGATTCTCCACGGGAGACACCCCGCCGCGGACACAGCATTTGGAGTGGCTCTCCGACGGCCCCGAAGCCTCCGTCCGCGACGGATGGTCTCCCGTAGGGAATCGGGGCCAGATCTTCCACGGGAGACACCCCGCCGCGGACGCGGCCCGTTGGAGGGCCCCCCGAGGGCCCCGTCAGCGGCGGATGGTCTCCTGTGGGGAATCGAGACCAGATTCGCCACGAGAGACACCCCGCCGCGGACAGGGTCCATTGGAGGGCTCCCCGACGGCCCCGTCCGCGGCGGACAGTCCCTGGTGTGGAATTGGTCCCACATTGTCAACCTGGGGGTAACTGGATCGCGTCAGGCCATTCGAGGCGTCGGCCCGAATAGAAGCGTCAGAGGCGTCATCGGGCGTCAGGCCAATAGAGACGTCAGGCAGAATAGAGGCGTCACAGGCGTCATCGGGCGTCAGGCGAATAGAGGCGTCAGAGGAATAGAGGCGTCACGGGCGTCATCGGTCGTCAGGCGAATAGAGGCGTCAGGCAGAATAGAGGCGTCACAGGCGTCAACGGGCGTCAGGCGAATAGAGGCGTCAGAGGAATAGAAGCGTCACGAGCGTCATCGGTCGTCAGGCGAATACCTAGAGGCGTCAGGCAGAATAGAGGCGTCAGGGGCGTCAGCGAGCGTCAGGCGAATAGAGGCGTCAGACCGAATAAAGGCGTCACGGGTGTCAGCGGTCGTCTGGCCCATAGGGGCGACAGGGCAAGTACGGCGCCGGGCGAATAGAGGCGTCAGACGGAATAGAGGCGTCAGAGGCGTCATCGGGCGTCAGGCCAATAGAGGCGTCAGGCGGAATAGAGGCGTCACAGGCGTCATCGGGCGTCAGGCGAATAGAGGCGTCAAACCAACCTACTTGGCCAATAGAGTCTTCAAATAGCGTCTTCGTCTTCAGGCCGAATGGGGAACCAACCGGGCCACCCCCTGTATATATATATATATATCCTTGAGATTCTCATGGGTTTTATCTCGTCCCCCCTCCGTCCTCGAAACGATCTCCTCTAAACCGCCTCTCCGTAGCCGCCTCGGCTTAAGGGTGCGGGGGTCCCCAGAATGACCCCCTCCGAGGAGCCCGCGCCCGACTGAGCTCCCCCCTCGGGGACTGGGGGAGCTCGCCAGCCCGCGCCGCCGCGGCGGCGGCACGGCCGTGGCGATGTTCGGCGCCGCGGGGGCTGGCGCGGGCGCCCCGCCTGGCCCGCCTGGGTTGGGCCCTGGTGGGGGGCTCCTCGGCGTTGGCGGCGGCGGAGCGCTGGGCGGCTTTCTGGGGCTGCCGCCTGGCGTCGGCGCCCTGCTCCCGCCGCCGCCTGCCGGAGTGGCCGCTGGAGCTGCCGCGGCCGCGGGCGGAGCCGCCGCAGGCCCCGCAGCACCAGGAGGCGGAGGCAAGGCGGCGGCGAAGCCCGGGATGGGCGGCAAGGGCGGCATGGGCGGCCCAATGGGCGGCATGGGCAAGCCGCCTGCCGCCCCGCCGCCCGCTGCAGGACGCGGCAGAGGTGCCGGCGCTGGAGCAGGAGCGCCAGCGGCCATGGGGGGCCCCGCGGTGCCGGGCCTGATCCCAGGGATCCCCGGGGTGGGAGCCCTCGTGGGGCCACCCGCTCACGCTGGGGGTGGAGCCGGCCTCGCCGTGGCAGGGCAGGCCGCCCACGCGGTGCCAGCCGCCGCCGCGCCTGTGCCCTTGGGCTGGCAGGCAGGCATGCCCGTGGCGGGCGGGGCGCTGCCGCAGTTCGGAGCAGCGTTCGCCCAGCCAGCGGTGGCGGGGGTCGCGGCGGCGGCGCAGCAGGCTGGGCCCTGGGTATACGTGCCCATGGCGCCCCAGGCAGTGACCCACGGCCTCCTGGGGCTGAGTGCCGGTTGCCGCGTCGAGCTGGTGATGTACGATGCTGCCTGTCAGCCGAGCAGGACGACGACGATGACAGTGACAGGGCTCTACCCACCTGACGCGGCAGGGGAGTTCGTGGAGTGCGCAGTGGAGAGCAGCAGCGACCCTCTCTACCTGCCGATCCTGCAGGGCATCTTTGCGATGGGAAGCAGCGTGGTGCACCTCTGCACCCAGGGCGTGGCGACATGCTGTCGCACGACCGCCTGGCCAGGGCGCAACGTGGTGCACTCGGACACGCTGCGCGTGCTGGGGGCGGCCGGGCCTGGAGGCGGAGCCGCTGATGGCGCTGGAGCTGCCCCGCCTGGCGCCCTCCCTGCAGGAGCTGCGCCGCCCGCCGCTGACGCAGGCCCAGTGGTGCCGGGTAAGAACGCAGGTGGGGCCCCCAAGGGCTCAGGCGGTGCCGACGGTGAGGACGTCGATGGCAAGACGGCCGAGGAGATGAGGAAGATCGTCAAGAGGCTGAAGGAGAAGCTTCAGAGGAAGCGCTCGATGGGCGAGGCGCTGGCCGAGCGCGCGGAGGCTGCGCTGGAGGGCCGCCGCAGCCGCAAGAAGCAGAAGAACAGGGACAAGGATAGTTCTGACAGTGCGAGTTTTGACGAGGCCCCGACCGCTGGTTCCGGCCGCCGAGTGCAGAAGCTGGCCCGCTCCGACCCCGGGGCGCTCATGGCGGCGGGTTTGAAGCAGATCCGTGAATACTTGGCGCAGCGGGGCGGGGCCGACAACGATGATGAGCTGGATAAGATGGCGTCCAACGTGGTGCAGTATATCACGAGCGTGTGGCACGGCATGCACCCTCAGAGCGAGATGGGCGTGCGGAATGTGCGCGAGATGAGGATGGTCGGGGAGTGCTTGGACGCCCTCACGAGGGGCGATCTGCCACAGCTGGGCGACATGCTGATGCAGAGGCTGAAGGCCATCGAGCAGGCCACCAAGGACGGGCACTGGAAGGTGGCCGAGCACCTCGAGCTGGTCGACTCCACCGACATCGGGCTGGCCAGCAGCGCCGAGGTGTCGGCGGCCGTGGCGACCTACTCGGAGGGCGCGAAGCTGAAGGAGCGCCTCACTCGAGCGGGCGCGAGGAGGCCCCCCTAGGGACTCGGCGAGGGAGAGGGTGGGCGCACCAGGACGCCCTCTCCCGCACCGCCGCCCCCACAGATATCGAGTCCTGGAGCACAGGGGGAGAAGGATGCGCCGACGCCCGGATCGAGGAAGGACCGGTGGAGGGCGAAGCTCTGGCGTGGACGCGGCCGAGGGCGAGGTCGCGGTCGCGGGGACGCTGTCGAGGCAGTGAGGAGAGCGTCGCCGAGCCCGGCAGCCGGGACAGGCGCTGGCGAGAGATCTGGGAGCCCGAGGAGCCCGTCGTCCCACTGGCGGCCAGCACCTGGTTCGATCAGCCCTGGAGTGGATCGCAAGCCGGCCCTTCGGAGACCCTCGAGCCCTACTCGTCGCGTGAGGTTCGAGGACGACGTGACCACGGAGGCGAAGGCAGGCAACAAGGGCAAGCCGAAGGGCGACAAAGGGCAGCGCCGCGGGACGCCACCTTGGCGCTCGTGGAACCCGAAGGGCAAGGGCGGCACGAAGGGTCAGGCCCGTGGCAAGGGCAAGGACAAGGGCCAGGGCAAGAGGCCCAACAAGAATCGGAAGTAGAATGCATGAGCTTCGAGGGCGCTCGAGAGGCGTGTGACTGCACGTCCGACGGCAGCTGGGAGTCCGAGATCACCTTCTCCTCGTACCTTGAGGATGAGTGCAACGGCGCCGCTCATGGCGCAGTCTCGGACGAGCCGTCCACGCGAATTCACGACTATCCCTACTTGAACCAGACGCGTGCCGCCAGTGAGCTGGGCAGTCTCTGTGGAGCTCCAGTTCGTGTTGTTGGACGCCGTCTAGCTGATCTCAGTACTTCTTCGCCCGCGTCGAGCGGGGCACTTGGCAATTTTGATGCGAAATCGTACGATGATATCCTCTCACCACTGACCGCAGGGAACGGACGGCGTGACTTGCTGCCGTTGCCCTGCGTCGATCTGACGATCGAGGAGTTGAGCATGAACGGCGTTGTGTTCGGCGAATCGAAGCCAGTCGATCCCTCCTTCGAGGACGACCTGAACGGCTGGCTGAAGCTCACCGTCCTGAGCCTGAACTTCCAGTACGCGCTGGGGGGCAAGCACCCCGGTCTCAAGATGGCCCCCTGGGAGGTGAGGCACGGGCCCGCCAGCGCGGTGCAGCTGAAGGCCCTGAGGTTGCTGGCCAGGAGTGTGGGCACGTTCTTGTGCCAGTACGAGGGCTCCGTGGCGAACCTCGACTGGACCCAGGAGCTGAAGTCGTCGGCAGTGAGCTACACGGGCATGGAGGTGTACCCAGCCGAGCAGCTGGACCGCGAGCGCCTCTTGCTCGCCCTGCCGCCGAAGGAGGCTTGCGGCTCGGTGCTGGCGACCGAGGTGAGCGAAGGATGGATAAGGAGCGTGCTGGAGCACCCGGAGTGGGTGATGAAGAGCCCCGCGGAGCTGGGCGAGATGCCCAAGACCCCGCGCGTCTGGGCCGAGGATGACGAGTGGGAGCTCATCGCGGCCGAGCTCGTGAACAGGGGCATCCTCGTCCCGATCGAGGCCGACGAGATCGTGAAGGTCAAGGGCCGTCGCGTGCTGGGCGGCCTCTTTGGTGTACGAAAGTCGGGACACGCCAAAGACTCGGGGCCGCAGCGGCTGGTGATGAACATCATCCCGAGCAACTGGATGCAGGAGACGGTCCAGGGGGACATGGGTCTCCTCCCGACGACAGACAAGTGGAAGAGCATCATCTTGAGGAGCGGCGAGGTGATGATGAGCTCGTCGGAGGACCTCAAGTGCTGCTTCTACGTGTACCGGTTGCCCGCGGTGTGGCACAAGTACATGGCGCTCTCCAAGAAGGTGAGCAGGTCCTGCATCGGTCTCGACGGGACCGGCGAGGTGCACGTGGCCGCGGCCGTGATCCCGATGGGCTGGGTGTCGGCGACAGGCATCATCCAGCACATCCACCGGCGGTTGCTTCGTGAGTGGCTGGAGGGAGTGCCTCCGCTGCCTGAGGATCGTGAATTGCGGCGTGACCTTCCTCTGCCTCCACATCGCGAGAGGGGCTCGGTGGTCTCTCAGGGCGAGGCGAGGCCGCCGGTGCGAGGCGAGCTGGGCCGATCCTACAGCGACGAGCGCCCACAGGTGTACATCGGTCGCACAGGGCAGCGGTACGGCTTCTCCCCCTCCAAGTGGGCGAACCCCTTCAAGGTGACGAAGATGATGCCGAGGAGCGAGGCCATCGCGAACTACGAGAGCCACCTGCGCGACTCGCCCGATCTGCTGGCCTGCTTGCCCGAGCTCTCGGGCTGTCGCCTCCTGTGCCACTGCAGGCGAGGGCAGCGCTGCCACGGGGACGTGCTGGTCAAGGTGTGGTCGGAGACGGTGCCGAAGGCGACGAGAGGAGTAGACACGCTCATGCCGGAGGGTGCTGGTACGGCTTGCTGGGTAGTGTGGCAGGTGTACATCGACAACCTTGACGTGCTGGAGGTTACCGACGAGGTCTCCGCGGCGGCGCTGAAGGCACAGGGCCCCCCCGAGGTGGTGCAGCTGGCTTGCGAGAGGTACGCGCAGCGGGGCGTGCCCAGGAGCGAGGATAAGGCAGTGTGCCGCGAGCCTGTCAGTCAAGCTTTGGGCGAGCTCATTGACGGCACGAGGGGCGTGATCAGCCCGCCCCTGGAGTTCGTGTACCGCCTGCTGGGCCTCACCTTCGCCACGCTAGATCGGAGTGTGCTGACTCAGACTTGGCTGCAGGTGGTGGCGGGCCGCTGGGTGCGAGCGATGATGTTCAGGCGTGAGACGATGTCCGTGTTCGACGACCTGTGGCGTGCCGTGGTGCGCTGGAGAGGCGAGCGCAGGTTGCCCGCTCCCGTTCAGAGGGAGCTGCTGCTGGCCGTGGGGCTCCTGCCGCTCATGAGGTGCGACCTCAGGACGCCCGTGAGCGGGCTCGTCACCGTGTCCGACGCCAGCATGCGCAAGGGGGCGGTGTGCCGGGCTGTGCGCCTGTTCCCACACGGCGTTGAGGCAGCCAAGGCTTCTCGCAGGCGCCAGGTGGGGCGGCTGCAGGACGAGGGCGTGCTGCTGTCGCTCTTCGACGGGATCGGAGGTGGAAGGCGGGCCCTCGACATGCTGGGGCTGAGCGTGGCCGTGTATGCCGCGTCGGAGACGGACCCAGAGGCCTGCCGCGTGGTGAAGTACGCGTGGCCGGACGTGGTGGAGCTGGGCGACGTCGCAAAGCTGAGCGCGCAGGACATCGCCAAGATCCGGGACAGGGCCCCTCACGTGCGCTGGGTTCTCCTTTTTGCTGGAGCTCCCTGCGTGGACCTCACCAGGCTGAGCGTCGACAGGCAAGGGCTGTCAGGAGCGAGGTCGGGCCTCTTCTACGAGATCAAGCGGGTGAAGTCGCTGGTGAAGGAGGTGTTCTCCGTGGAGGTCGAGGTGTTCGACTTGATCGAGAATGTGTCCTCCATGACGGCCGAGGATCGCGACACGATGTCAGAGCACATGGGGCTGGCCCCGGTGATGATCGATGCCGCCGACATCTCCCACGTTCGCCGAGAGAGGCTCTACTGGTGTGACACCGACCTCATGACGCCGTGGCAGGGCGAAGTCAGTGTGAAGAGTGAGGTGGTGAAAGTGACGATCCCTGGAGGTCCAGGCCCGCTGGGCCGCTGGCTGCGCCCTGGGCGAGAGTGGTCAGGAGCCGAGGTTCCTGAGCAGCGTCTGCCCACCTTCGTGAGGTGCATCCCGCGCGGGCGTGCCGGCGACAAGCCGAAAGGCCTGCACCAGTGCAGCGAGGCCGAGCTGGAGCGTTGGCGGAGGCACGACTTCTGCTACGCGCCGTACCAGTTTCGAGATCCTCACTGTCTTCGATGGCAAGGAGGTGCGCTGGAGCCTGCCGACTCCTTTGAGAGAGAGATGTTGATGGACTTTCCACCTGGGCACACGGCGACAGCGCGGGCCACAAGATTCCGCAAGCTGGCTGAGCTCGAGGTGGTACGATGCGCCCTGCTGGGCAACTCGTTCCAGTGCGGCGTGGTGGCCTGGATAGTGGCGCACTGGGCTCACCGACACGGCTACCTGGACACGGTCCCCACGATAGCGGAGGCGCGCGCGGTCGGAGGCGCCTTCGACGCTGCCGAGGGCCTGGTGCAGGTGGCCAAGGAGGGCGACGACAGCGGGGTCGTGATCAGGGACCGTGGCCTCGAAGAGGCCGAGGCGCAGGCGGACCCAAGCATTCAGATCGTGGAGGAGCTGATCCGGCGAGCTGAGGTGAGGGGCTCGGACGTGCGCCTCGACACGCTGGAGGTCATGCGCCCTGACTTGTGGCCACGCCGCCCGATCAGCGTGAGCCGCTGGACGTGGAAGACAGTGCTGGTCTGGAAGTGGAGGTGGAAGAGCCACATCACGGCGCTGGAGGTGCTGAGCACGCTGGCAGGCCTTCGCTGGCGCTTCAGAGTGGGCCATCACCTTGGCACGAGGTTCGCTCATCTGATGGATTCGCAGGTTGGACTTGGTGTGATATCGCGGGGGCGCTCGTCCTCGCATCTGCTCAACGCAGCCGTCAAGAGGATCTCAGCTCTGGTCCTGGCGGCGTCGGCAAGACCGATTTACGGGTACACCGAGACGGACAAGAACCCAGCCGACGACCCCTCGCGGGAAGGCGGCCCGTCAGGTAACAGCAATGCCGAGGAAGCGTCGCATTGATTATGAGATAGACTTGGTGTCCCGCATTCGGGTACGACGCGCGATTGGCAGATTATCACACACACTAGTTCAACCTCGTACGTTTCGCAGATATGGTCAGATGGTGCAAAGCTTTGTCTCTTGGATTCGTGCCCATGGTATCGACGTGGCCACTGACCTGGAGCAGCTCGATTTTCAGTTATGTGAATGGATAGAAACGCTATGGGCGCATGGGAGGCCTGCTGGAGATGCTGGGGCCACTTTGTCTGGCGTACAGTTTTTCTTGCGACGCAAAAGAGTGCTTCACAGTGCGTGGAGCTTGCTGAAGGCTTGGCAACGGACTGAGATGCCACAAAGAGCACCACCCATGCCAGAGTATGTGCTGATGTCACTTGCCACGGTGGCTCGGTCCTGGAGTCGAAACGACGTGGCGGTGCTGCTTGTGATTGGCTACTCCGTATTTTTGCGAACAATGGAGCTTCTTACTCTTCGTAAGTGGCAGCTGCAGTTCAGCAACGACGGCCTCAGCCTTGTCATAGCCCTGCCGGTGACCAAGGCAGGCAAGAGACGGCACTGCGAGGAGTCGGTCACACTCCACGACGCTAGGATTGTTCACTTCGTCAGAGTGCTCACTCAGCATTTGCCGCCTGAGAGCTCTTTGCTGCAGGGCACCGTGCCCGAATTTCGTGATGTGTTCAGAGCTCTCTTGAGGTCGTTGAACCTGGAGCGGCACGGATATCAGATATATTCTTTACGCCGTGGAGGTGCCACCACTCACTATAGAAGGTTCGAGAACATGGGCTTGACTTTGATAGTTGGGAGATGGCAAGACACTGCTGTGGCCAGACTGTACATCAGTGACGGTGTGCAAACTTTGCTTCAGAACGATTTCTTGCCTGCAGAATTGGAACGATTTCGTGTACTGGCGAGTGCTCTTAACTTTGATGTGGGATGAGAGAGTGAAAAGAGGGAGCAAAATATCTGAGCAGCTTCGCTGTCAGCATTTTCCGGACCCTCCCCACCCGTCCCTGGGAAATAATGGCGGTAAACCAGAAAGGGGTGCATGGAAAGGGGTCCCGGGGGGGGGTTCGGACACGCGTCGAGCGCTGCCGCCCTCACCCGAGGGGGTTCGGACTCGCGTCGCGCTGCCGCTCCCGGTCAACTCCGAGGGTTCGGACTCGCGTCGCGCTGCCGCCCCTGGCCAGGCTTCGGAGTCCCCGGAGGACATGGGGGGGGTCTCCGCTGGCAGCCCCCCTGTAGCACAAAACCCCTGGTGAGAGGAGTAAAAAGGAGAGAGACGAGGAAAGGGGACACAGAGATAAATATCCTTGAGATTCTCATGGGTTTTATCTCGTCCCCCCTCCGTCCTCGAAGCGATCTCCTCTAAACCGCCTCTCCGTAGCCGCCTCGGCCCCGCCTTGAAACCCTGCCCGAGCCGAGTTGGCTAAAAGATGTGCCGATTTCGAGCCATCTGAGGATGTGCTGAAGCCATCCCAGCAGGAGTTCAAGGGAAAGGGGTCCCGGGGGGGGGTTCGGACACGCGTCGAGCGCTGCCGCCCTCACCCGAGGGGGTTCGGACTCGCGTCGCGCTGCCGCTCCCGGTCAACTCCGAGGGTTCGGACTCGCGTCGCGCTGCCGCCCCTGGCCAGGCTTCGGAGTCCCCGGAGGACATGGGGGGGGGTCTCCGCTGGCAGCCCCCCTGTAGCACAAAACCCCTGGTGAGAGGAGTAAAAAGGAGAGAGACGAGGAAAGGGGACACAGAGATAAATATAAATATATATATATATATATATATATCGTGTATGTATATGTATATGTATATGTATGCGTGTACTTCCGACGACAACGCGACCAGGCATGGCCGCGAGGATTGCTTGATTTGGATCTGAGAAGAGATGGGCCCTCTCCCCGCCATTCCCCCCCTCGCGCGAGCCCTGTTGGCTCGAGGCTCTGCCGCGGTCGGGCCCGATGGCGCGGGGAGGCCCGCGGAACACCAAACGTGCACGAGCATGATCCCTTGGATTATGATGTTCTAACCTACTTTAGCCTTGACCGCCAGAAAGGATTTCGAGCACCAGGAGAAAGTACCGAAACTCGAGGGTTTTCACGTGTCGGGCCCTGGGGGACACTCGTCCGACACTGTTTCGACACTTGTTCGGGTGCTCGAAATTATCTTTTGGATGTGGTCTTTAAGTACCATGGGAGCAACATAACTCTTGGATGCGCGGAAAGGGGGGGGGCCGGCGCCGGTCCAAGAAATCCGCGCGGACCGCCGGAGATTTGGCTTCGCGTGTCGCTCCGCTCGGCATGCGGCACGCCATCCACGGGCGGGTCCCCAGGCGTCCACGTCCCGGGTGACTGTTTTCCAGCCTCGCGCCCCTCGGAGCAGAGCGACACGCGATCCGCTCGCAGGGCATAGCGCGTCGCTGGGGCCGCCGCCGCGACACGCTACTCAAGAGTCCCCGACCGCATGCCGAATGGCCTTGGCATACCCTTGTTGGAGCAGCCTTGGGGGCGGCGCTGAGATGCTGCAGCGTGTCGCGGCTGTAGCGTTGCACAGTTGTTACGTGGTCCGCTGAGGGCTGATCGACATCGTCTTGGGGGCCTTTTCGGGTTATGTTTTGAGGCTGTCGAGGTCTCCTCACGCTTATCCAGATGATCCTCCTCCTCTTCCTCTTCCTCCTGCTCCTCCTCTCCTCCTCCTCCTCCTCCTGTGAGGTGTCTTTTTACGCCCTCCGGGCGTTGGGGGGCCTGAGATGAGCTATGACGCCGACCGCCCAGTCCGAGGTGTCCTCGTCGGACTGATCGGCGTTGTTTCGTTACCATCATCTTTCTAGCCCTATGGGACCCCAGATGAAAATGAAAGTCCTGCTTATCCTCCTCGTCTTCCTCCTCCTCCTCCTTATCCTGCTTATCCTCCTCCTCCTCGTCCTCGTCCTCGTCCTCCTCCTCCTTCTCCTCCATTCCTTTCCCTTATCAGTAATTGATCCCTGTCGCACCCCGAGGCCTGTTTTAAGGCGGGCTGGGCGGTTCGCCTGATTCTGAAGCAGTAAAGTGGCAACAGCTTCACAGATGGAGGCGGGTAGTTATCAAAATGTGGCTTTCGTAAAAGCGCCGCGCACATTCGTTTTAACAATGTGCAGGAGCCTCACGGATTGAAAGCGGGTGGTTTTCAAAATGTGGTTTTCGCATCATCGCCGCGCATATTCGTTCTCAAACGTTGCAAGAGCTTCACGGATTGAGGGCGGGTCGTTTTCAAAATGTGTCTCTCGCATTATCGCCGCGCACATTCGATTTAACGATTTGCAGGAGCTTCACGGATTGAGGTCGGGTCGTTTTCAAAATGTGTCTCTCGCATTATCGCGGCGCACTTTCGTTTTAAAAATTGGCAAGAGCTTCACAGATTGAGGGCGGGTGGTTTTCAACATGTGGCTCTCGCCTTCGCGCCGCGCACATTCGTTCAGAAGAGTTGGAAGGGTTCCACGGATTCCCATGATCAGTGCACCAGAAATGGTGTTTTGGAAGGATGCAGGATTATGCTGGTGCAACAGTTATGTTGACACGTTGTGCCGAAGTCCCCAAAAAAGGCGTTCTGGCACGGTTCCAGATCGTCAGGACGCAGCAGTCAGGTTGATCCGTGGCGTTGAACTCCCGAGAATAATGTTTTGGTATGCTTCAAGGTCTTCAAACGGTTGTCTTCCAACGTGGCAGTTCCCTCAGTGGGAATGAGCCGTTGTATGGGCCTCTGAAGATGGGAGCGTGGGGGGAGGCTTCATTCCAACATCGTTGATGACTCTTGGGTTTACGCTGGTCCTCCTCCTTATCCTCCTCGTCTTCCTCTTATCCTCCTCGTCTTCCTCCTCCTCCTCCTCCTCCTCCTCTCCCTCCTCCTCCTCCTCCTCCTCCTCCTCCTCCTTCCTTCCGTAGCCATTTTGGCTCAAGCCGGCCTCAAACCCCCTGGTCGCCGTTTGCCTCTTTCGCTCATGGCCGGCCGGGGTGTTGCTGCTTGAGGACAATGGCACGGGAAGTGCTGCGGGGAGCTGCGGGCGCGCGGGCTTCTGCAGACAGATTGGTGTACAAGTTAAAGGACGAGCTTGGTTCATCGAGGAGAGAGATCGCCAGGCTGCAGGACCTGCTGCATCGCAATTCCGCCAGCGACCCACACGAAGAGGAGCTGCTCCGCCGCTGGGGAGGTATCAAGCCCGTCTTGCGGGCCCAGCTCCGAGCCCGCGACGGTGTCGAGACATCCCTGACGGACGCCGACATCCTGTGCCGCAACAATTCTGAACATGCTGCCGCTGCGCCGAACCCTGCGGCCCGCTGCGAGGAGCTCAGACGCGACCAGAAGGCGGAGCGCCTGGCCCCGCCACGGGCCTTGGTTGGGCGCACAATTTCGGTGAAGGAGCTGCGTGCCGACGCCGATGCCTTCATTCCCTCTTGCGGAGTGTGGGAGGCGCTGGACTGCAAGGAGCCCTTCCCGCTGCAGGGCGAGCTGGATGAGGGACACTGGGGCATGCGCTGCACCTGCGGTGCCGTGGCGTTCTCTGGCGAGCTGTTCGCCTGCCGAGGACAAGGCCGCAGGGAGACGGAGCCCCGTCATCCAGATATTGTTGCAGCTGAAAGGGCCATGAAGGTCGCGGCGCTCGAGCGGATCGACTACGAGCAGTGGGTCAACGCGCCCGCGCGGGCGCTCGGCAGCAGGCACCTCCAGGCGCGGCCGTTCGTGCGCAAGGTGGAGCGGCTAGCCCAGGCGGGCCGCGCGGGCGCCTCCGTGCCCGACACCTTTTTCGTGGAGCAGCAGGTCGTGAGGAACGACCCCGAGGCCGAGGAGGAGCTCGACGATGCGTCACTCGTGCGGGCCCTCGGCGAATCGATGCGCGCGCTGGACAGCGTGCTGCGGGACTACCAGTTTGGGCGTGCAGGCCACATCCGCGGCCGCCGAGGCGGGCAGGCCGCGGGCCCAGGGATGGGAGCCCATTCCTGGGGCGCCTCCGCCCCCGACTCCAACGACTGCAAGCAGCAGTGAGTGCTGCTGCGGGCCCCGCGCGGCCGCGTGCTGCGCCTGGGGGGGCTTTTCGGTTTCCCCTCCCTTGGGGCGGCGCGGCCGACCCTGAGGGGGCCTGGGGGGGGCTCGGTTCTGCCCCTCCTGGGGTGCCTTGGCCTCTGGGGGCCAGGCACGGTTGAAACCCCTGGACCCGCCGACGGGAGCTGCGGGCGCCCCTGCAGCGCCCCCCTGCTGCAGGGCCCGTCGGCGGGGGGCTGTGCCGCGAGGCTTGCGGGCGCTCGCGAAGGCGCGGTTTGGCCGCGCGTCGGATTCCAGGCGAGCCGCCGAGGGCGGCGACCGCTGTGCGCGAGGCACGGCGTGCGCGGCGCGCGGCGCCGCGGGCGGGGCGCGTCGGCCCGACTGACGCGTTCCCTAGTGCCCTCACCCTCACCCCCCTCCTCCTCCTTCTCCTCCTCCTCCTCTCGTGCGGAGTCCCGGCCGTTGCTCGCTCCTCTGAAGGCGCCCCCCGGCCGTGAGCGCCATGCCCTGGCCGCGAGCGCCATGCCCCGGCCCCCCTCGCGCGGGCCGTGGCCCGCGCTGCTGCTGGCTGCGGCGGCCGCGGGGGCCCTGCGCTGCGGGCAGGCCGCCTGCGCCGAGGACCGCGCCGTTCAGGGCGCCTCGGGGCCCCCGGCGACGCTGCCGTCGTCGCCTCGCTGTCGCGCCCCTGTCGCGGAAGCAGCACGGCGGACGGTGTGTCGCTATTCTGGGCCCCCCGGGGGCCCCCCCTGGGCCTGGAGAGCGTCCAAAACGACCCGGGGCGAAAATTTTGCCCAGCGGGAGTGGACATAACCCCCACCCTGACACGTCGATTAGTGAATTCTCCGTTTTCGGTTCTCGAGAGGGCGCCGCGACCGTCATTTTCCAGGCTTGCGCCCGCCAGGTTGGGGCGAGGTCGTTTTCACGAAACCACGTTTGGCTCAAGGGGGTTCTGTCCTGTCCATCCTCGAAACGACCCGAGGTGAAAATCTGATCCAGGCGAATGGGTCGAGACCTCTGGGGGCCGACGCTGTGCACAAAACATGACGCCGAGGGTCTGGGCTCGGGGGCCGCGGCGTCGTTGTCGTCGTCGCGCCGTTGCCGTAGTCGCCTCGGGGACCTCTTCTGGAGAGATTCTGGCCAGGACGCCGAGGCGAGCCCGCCCGTGTCGACGAGGGACCCAGATATGCCCCCAAGCAGTTTCTCGCCCTCGTCGTCGTCGTTGTCGTCGTCGTCGTCGAAATCATCGTCGCCTCGGCGTCGGAGGCGGGAGCCCAGACGTGCTCGCGCTGGGAATTGGGAAGCCCGGGCAGGCTCGCGTCCCGAAGATGTCGGGGCCAGAGGCTTTTGGCCGTCTTGAACATCGCTCCCTCACCGGGCCCCGGGGCCGTCAAAATGAGGCGCAGGACCCCGACCTTCGACGTCATAATTGGCTCGAAGCTTCAACCCCCAGACGTCTCCACCCCTTGGCCTGTGGACCGATTTTTTTTTCTCCTGAGTCGTTTCTGTTACTGCCCCGAGGTCCGGTAAGAGGGCCTCCCGAGGGCGGACATGGCGAGAGACTTCCCGTCATGACTCTCTGCTATCAGAAAGGGGGTCCAGGGAGGTATCAGCAGGGGGTCCTGGGGAGGAAGAGAGCCGGTCCCGTGGAAGGGGCTGGGACTTCGGGGGCCCCGTGCTGCACGAGACGGGGGCCTCGGAGGCCCGGCCCGCCTCGGCCTCGGAGGCCGGCGGCCCGTCGTGGAGCCGGCCCCGGGGTCTGAGGTGGCCCAGCAGGGGTTGCAGCGAGCAGGAGGGGGGGGGGGGCGAGGTTGGAGGTGCCTGGGGTCTTTGCCTTCTTCGGCCTCTGGGGGCAGTCTTCGTGTCCAGGGGGGCATGGGGGGGGGGAAACTGGCCAGGTGGGAGAGGTCCAGGGGCAGATCCGGAGGGGATTTGGCCCCCCATCCCTCTTCTGACAGATTCTCTCTGGGGTTCGACCAGTTCCGACCCTCCGAACGCCAGCGACATCGAAGCGTGTTCGATGGCAAAGCATGGGGGCCTTGTGTGTCCTTGCGCCCCGTCAATAAGTGGGTAATCCATCGAGGAGAAAGCGCCGAATTACGAATTGGCACCGACTTAGCGTCAATTTGGAGTCGGTTAGCGTCGACCACCAAGACCCAGCAAGATGGCACGGGAGGTTCCCGTGAGTTGCTCTGTCACAGGAGACGCGTTCGCGTCGTAAAATATCAAAACAACGCAGAGCGCCCCAATGTCAGCAAGGGGTGCGGCCGCGCGGGCATCGTTATCGTCCTTTTGGTCTCTCTCTCTCTTTCGCGTCCGCGCCGTAGTTTGCTTCGCTTCGTCCCACCCTTGCCGCAACGCTGCTTGGGCCCCAGTGGCCGATGACAAACAATCATGTTATTCCCCATGTCCGAAGATGGGGCCATTGTCAGCACTGTGACGCCTCCGCCTTCTCGTCCCTCCCCTTCTTCCTTATATCCAGACTCACTCACACTAAGTGTCACTCATACTCATGCCCACTGATTTACAGACACATTGCATCTCAGACTACCTCACACTCAGACACGCTCACCTTCAGACACATCCATATGTACTCAAAACTAAGTTTTATGTTTGGAGAATCATTCAGAAAGACTTCCCCGCACCCACTTTCCCGCACCCACATTGCTCACACGAGCGCGTTTATTTATTGCTTGGGGCATGACGGGCGTCATGGCCCCCGCCCCCCCCCCTACTACGTAACGCTCCCCCCCCCAGTGCGTTCCGGGCATTGCCGCCGTGTGCATCGTGATCCGCATAGGTGTCCACATAGAAATCCGCATAGAAGTCTGGTCCGCAGTCGTCGTTGTCGTCGTCGTCGTCTTCGTCGCCGCCGTCGTTGGCGTCGTCGTCGTCGTCGTCGTCGTCGTCGTCGTCGTCGTCGTCTCTCCTCGCTCGTCGCTCGTCGCTCATCGTCGTCGTGCGCGCGGACGCAGCTGGATCTTGTTTTTTTATTCCAGGCCGATGACGGCACTCGTCTGGGGAGGGGGAGGGGGCCGATGACGTCACGTTTTGCGCCGGTGGCGTCTGGGAATGCTTAGGAATGACCGAGGACTGGTAGCAGCAGCATGTCGGTGGCGATCTGCACCACAACGCCTGTGTACACCATAGTGCCTGCGTGCACCACAGCGCCTGTGTACACCACACCGCCTATGTACACCACAGCAGCCGCGCGCAACACAGCGCCAGTGTGTGCCACAGTGCCTGATGGCACCACAGCGCCTGTGTACACCACAGCGCCTGCGTACACCACATCAGCCGTGTGCAACACAGCACCAGTGTACACTACAATGCTTATGTGCACTACAGCGCCTGTGTGCACCACGGCGCCTGTGTGCACCACAGCAACCGTGCGCAACAAAGCACCACTGTTGCATATAGAATGTGAGACGGAATCCTTATGACAAAATGGAGCGCCTGCGGATTCAGCAGAATACGCATTTTTATAGAAGATTTGGAAAGGAATATTTATGGAAAAAGGCGCGCCGCTGGAATCTACGAGTCTTCCGGAGTCCGCCCGCATCATCCTAACTCCTCCCATCTGCGTCCAGGAGGCTCCAGCTAAATTGGCCGTCCAAGAACCAACTGGATTGATTCAATAGACCATTCTGCGGTGCAAGCTGAGACGCGCACGTGCGCAGTAGTGCCGACCCGCACGACAGGGGGGAAGGGTGAGGGAGGAGGGGGAGGAGGACGAGGAGAAGGAGGACGAGGAGGAAGAGGAGGTGGAGATGGAGGAGGGGGAGGAACAACGTCGCATCATATTATCATCACTTCCTTGGCGTGGCGTTTAGCTGTCCGCAGCAGATCCTCACCGACATGCTCCTTCTACCTGTCCTGTGCACGCAGGCGTTCTGGTGTACACCAGCGCTGCGTTGTACGCAGATAACGTGTAGACAGGAGCCGTGGTGCGCACAGGTGATGCGGCGCACGTAAGTATGTGGTGTAGACAGGCGCTGTGTTGAAGATGACTGCTGCGGTGTACACATTCGCTGTGGTGCACGCGAGCACTGTGGTGTACACAGGCGCTGTGGGGCAGATCGCCACCTACATGCTGCTCGCGTCGTCGTCGTCGTCATCGTCGTCGTCGTCGTCGTCGCTCGTCGCTCGTCGCTCATCGTCGGCGTGCGCGCGGGCGCGGCTGTGGTGCCGGAGCCACACGGCGGGGGGGGGGAAGCCAAATCAGGAGAGGGTTTCAGATAAGAAGCCGGCGGTGGGTGGTGAGGAAGACACGCCCACCTCCGCCGGTCCACGATCGTCGCAGCAGGTTGCCGGAGTTCGCAGCGTGTCCGGGAGCGTGGCTTCCTAGCGTTTCCCAATACGCGTGGCTCCAGGGTGCGCGAAGCGCTTCGGCAGAGCTTCGGAAGAGCTTCGGCAGTTATTCCAGGCTCCTAGGCAGATCCCCCTTGCGCTCTTTGCAGGGCCCCACGCATCGTAAACGGCGCTCCTGCAAGCGTCTCCTGCGAGGTTTCCAGCGTCCCGTGCATCGTTTCAGGCAGCCTGGCAGAGGTCCCCGTGCGGCGTTCCGCGCTTGGCTTCGCTATCCGGGTTTTGGACGCTTACAAGCGCCCGTCATGTGGCGCGGCCAGATTGTGGGGTCGTCTCGGGCGGTTTGCCTGGTTGGGTGCTCAGACGCGCTTGCTGTCAACGCAAGTTGTGAGGAAGTCTCGAGCGAGGCTCTGGTTCCAGCACTCCCACGGGTATGCCGCCAGGGTGTTCTCATTGGCCCGTTCGCGCCCAGATTTTGAGGATATGTCGCAGGCGGTTTGATTATTGGGTGCCCAGGCCTGTTTGCTCTCACACAGCAGAGAGTAGGGACGCCTCAAGCGAGGCGATAGTTTCAGCACTCCCACAGGGAGAGCCGCCAGGGTGTTTTCTCGGACCAGTTCGCGCCCATATTGTGGGGTTGTCTCTGGCGGTGTGCCTGTTTGGGTGCCGCGACTCGTTTGCTTTGAGGGCCGGTTGTCAGGATGGATCTGGCCAGGCGCTGGCTTTGGCATTGCCAATGGGGGAGCCGCCCGGGTGTTGTCTCGGACCCGCTTGCGCCCAGATTGTGGGGTTGTCTCAGGCGGTGTGCCTGTTTGGGTGGCCAGGCTCGTTTGCTTTCAGAGCAGACTGTGAGGATGGATCTGACCAGGCGCTGGTTTCAGCACTCCCAAAGGGGGAGCCGCCAGGGTGTTTACTCCGACCCGTTCGCGGACCCATTGCGGGGATGTCTCAGGCGGTGTGCCTGTTTGGGTGGCCAGGCTCGTTTGCTTTCAGAGCAGACTGTGAGGATGGATCTGGCCAGGCGCTGGTTTCTGCACTTCCAAAGGGGGAGCCGCCTGCGTGTTTTCTTGGACCCAGTCGCGCCCAGATTTTGGGGTTGTCTCAGGCGGTGTGCCTGCTTGGGTGCCGCGACTCGTTTGCTTTGAGGGCAGGTTGTAAGGATGGATCTGGCCAGGCGCTGGTTTCAGCATTCCCAAAGGGGGAGCCGCCAGGTTGTTTTTTGGGACCCGTTCGCGCTCAGATTGTGGGGTTGTCTCAGGCGGTGTGCCTGTTTGGGTGGCCAGGCTCGTTTGCTTTCAGGGCAGGTTGTGAGG